CTTTTCCTCATTTACAGGAAACTAGTGCAGAGATCCACACTATCAGTTCTAGATGAGCATGTGAGTCATTATCCACAGCTGGAGGATCCCACAGGCTTCTTTAATGCCTACCTCAGCTTTATCAACTCATTCTGAGATGAGTAATGAGAGGAATATTGCCTCAAATAAGTCATTAGAAAATATTGCAATCTGTTTATTACCAAACCGCAGAGTATGTGAAATGTCAGTCATGTGTTTAAATGCATGAAACTGAAAGTATTGCACCAAAGTCATTACAACAGTCAATAAGAGTTTGCTCAAATACAATGCAATGCAAACTTGTAAATATGTTTGTGTTCTAAGCATGAATGCTTTTATTCAAATAAAAAGATCTTTGTATGAATTGTCTCCGGTTTTGTGTAGAAAAAAAACAGTAAAACACAAGTTTTGTACTCTTGCAGACTGTTTTATTGATAAATGAAAAGGTTTGTAGTAAAGGACTGTTTCCCCTGAGCTGTGGCACAAGGCCAAAACAGCTCAAATACCAGAGAAACAATGTTTAGATCTGTTCCACATGAATTAAAGTGCCACAATATTTTAGAAATCTCTCCGAACAGAACAGACCAAATAAAAAAAAGAGGATGTTTCAGACTCAGAGGATTCATGGCATGCCACAAAGATGGTTGTGAGAAACAACAGAGCTACTGTATAGCACACTGGCCCAGATTGATTGGCATGTGACCAGGTCACTCAAACATTACTCGTTTAGCCGACAGAAGCCAGGATGACGTCGACCACATTCTCATCTGTGCTCCTAACAGTCACCTGCATAGTGACCCCATCAGCCAGAGCCAGACGTGACCTCACCAATACATCATGACCTCCCCTAAACACACCTTCAGAAAGACAAGATCATTAACCTCATCGCTCATGTTAGAAAATTAATATCCAATACACATTTCAGGAACTCGAATTCTCTTAAAACAGAAAAACTGGAGGGATGAAATGAGTACATACCTGCTAGGAACAGAACATGCGAGTTCTTGTTTTCAGGAACTTTGTCTGAGCGCTCGCAAGGCTGCATGCCCAAGAAGCTGATAATGTTATTTACTGCCTCTGTGAAGACAAACACGATAAAGAGATGATCATTTCACATTCTGTCCAGCCACAAAACTCTTCCTGTTATAATCAAACACCTTTATTGGTTATTCTTATTGATGGCCATGAGGATATTGAAAAATATTTGTAAAGGAATAGTTCACCCAAATATGAAAATCTGGTGATGGGGGATGGACTAAGGAACCATTATTATGGATTATAGACTCACTTTGACCAGAAGCAATGGTTTAAAATTAAAAAGCTTTGATGTATTTGTTTCTTACAAACATGCAGCTTTTGACTTAGAAAGATGTTAATTGATGGAATGGAGTCATGTGGATTATTGTGATGCGTTTATCAGCTGTTTAAACTTTCATTCTGACGGCACCCGTTCTCTGCAGAGG